CCCCCCCCCCCCCCCGGACCAACTACAAGCGTAACATCGGGCCCCCAGCCCTCGCCTCTAAGCGGCAACTCGCCTTGTAGCAGCGACATGCCAGGTAGTCAGCGGCCACGTGAGCGTCCCACCCTGTGAAGCCCCATATCGCCCACTTGGTCCAGCCCCCCATGAGCCTCTGGGCCACGGCGGAGAGGCTCGAAAAAGAGCGGTCCAGGATTAGAAGGTCCACCTGCTGTAACATGCGGATGGGTGGTCGAGGTCGTTGCTTGTCTAATGCATGCATAGCTGGCGTCGATTGGTTGGTTGTTATTGTCGATGTTGTTGTTGATGTCGTTGTTGTCGTTGTTGTTGTTGATGTTATTGCTGTTGTTACTGTTATTGTTTCGTTGTTGTTGTTGTTTATGTTGTCGTTGATGCGGTTACTGTCGTTGCTGAAGAAGATGTGTTGTTGTTTCTTTCATTGTTTTGTTGGTGGTGGTGGTGCAGTTATTTGATCTCTACTGCTGGAAACATGCAACCGTCCGCTCTCTCGCGGGCCCGCGCATTATCATGTCCGCAAAACCGGTGGGGGCAGAGTTCCTTCTTGTCACCTGCGAGTGTCTTGCGACGCTGGCCGCAGCGACCCCCCCTATGCTCTCCCCATGGACCGCCAGCCGCGTCACCCCCACGTTCTCGCGGAGGTAAGTCACAACCTCTCTCACGTCCTTGTTGATGTTGGCGGGGGAGGCCTTCCCACCTGATCGCCCGTAGCCCCGGTAGTTGAAGAGGAACACGTCGCACCCTACGGAGTTGTAGAACGAGACCCTGGTGTGTGATTCGATACAGCAGTACATAACGAAAAAAAATAAGCGTGTGTTGAAGGAGAACCTGTTGATTCGATAGATGCCAAGCGAAAATATTGGAACTTCATGGCATGCAAGAAGCATCACCAGCAGCACCACGACGACCCTCCCCCCCCCGCCCCTCCCAATAACCCCCCCTTCCTCAGAGATAACACGCACCTCATCAGCCAATCCGAAGGCCTCTTCCAGCGTCGGCATGAGCTCCGTCAGGCACTCCAGCAGAGACTCCGCCTCAGCGAACGCCGACGGGGCTAGCGTGTTGGCCCCCGCGGCCGCCGCGGCGGCAGCAGCAGCGTTCCCCTCGCCGGCGCCGCCAGCCCCCCTCATCCCCCCCGCCGCCTCCTCCATCGGCATGCTGGCGTGCGCCGTAAGCTGAAACGCGGGAGAGGAAAACGCAGGTACCGTGGGGTTGGGTGGCCGGTGGAAGATGGCACACGCGTGAGAGGGAGGGGGATTAGTTTTTCTGTTTGAACACGACGACGTATCGGCAGAGTCTCAATGCTTCGTTGCCAGGCGCTATTGTTTCCGAGCGTGCCATGAGCAGCACCTAGGGTTAGAAAACACACAACGACTTGACAAGTAGGACGGTACTTTCCAAGTGCACGAGATGCAGAGGGAGCTCGACACAAAAAACGAGCGAGCGAGGGCCGATGGGAGCCTCAACCTCTACTCCGGACACCCAAAAGCCACGAGCAGCAAGTCTCGCCCGGGGCGACTCTCCGTTGCTCACCTCCTCCAGCGCCCTTGTCAGCACCCACACGTCACCCCCCCGCGATCTGTCGCGGAGCTCCTGATGCAGCACGCGGAAGTGGCTCATGGCCGAGGGCACCACCGTCACATCGCGAACCAGTTGGACCCAGAGTCGCAGCGCGTTCGCGAACGAGACCTAAACGGAAGGTCACGGAGGGGGGGATTAGGTTGCCTGGCTCTTGCCATTGACTCGCGTCGAGCATCTTTCTTGTGGGCAGAGAAGCATAACGCTCTCTGTCGGATCCACGCGAGCGCTCGGATGGAAAGGCGAGTACTGTAGGCCTACTCCAAGCGACCCACAAAGTACATACACACTCAAACAACTCGTTTCGATGAGTGGGAGATTGTCACGGACAGCGGCGGTTGGTAACTTGTTGGACTTGGAAACCACGTTCGAAACGCTCAAAAAAACTCGTGCTGATCTCTGTCCATGAACCCCATCGACACATCTCGCGCTTTACCAGGCGGCTGCTGACGTGCTTGGTGTACTCGAGCTCGATGTCCCTCTGAATCTGCTTCGAGGCTCCCGGGTAGCTGATGGTCCTCGTCAGCCCCCTCCCGCCCACGTACACGGTCCCGAGGAGGACAAGCCACGCGCCCGTCGCCGTGACGAGGAAGGAGACCGCGTACAGAGGCAGGAACAGGACCAGGAAGGTCACGTACCCACCGCCGGCGAGGACTAGGGTCAGCTGCGGGGTTCTGGCGCGCGAGCGCGACACGCGGCGGTACAGCAGTGGTGGTGACGTGGTGACGCAACGCGGGAGGTTCAACTTTGTAAAGAGGAGGGCGACTGCGAAGCGATGGCTTCGGGGGCAGCGGTGAGTTTGATCGGGCGAACTTGCGGGGGTACGTAGTAAGTGAAAGCCATCTCGACCGAAACGCGGTGCGAAAACCGAGAGCGGGCGGGGTATAACGCCGTATCGCGTGCAAAAACCTGTGTCGTCATGACTAGACACGTGCAGAGTGGGTTGATCGCCGTACGGTAGCCACGCCGGCGCACAATAGACGCGCTGCAAAGAATGCAAGAGCTTTCTAAAAGGTAGGGGATGCCAGCAGCACCCTAACGGGGGGAAGTGAAGTGAACGCGCATCGTTGCGGACTTACTGTGCCAGCGCTCGGAAGGGGAAAGGAAGCCGTTCAGCCGCCGAAGGCAGCAGCACGAGCGAGGCGACCGCGCTCCTGCACGCGTAGGAAACATGGGGAAGTAAAGGAGGGCAGAAGATCGGCCATTTTTTTCCGACAGAGTCAAGTAACCTACGCTGCAACGTAAGCTGAGTCGCGTCGTGTTCGGAACTCCTTCATAACGTGTTCAACCCGCTTTCGTTGGGCTTGGGAATGCCGACGCCGAGACTATTCTTAAAGGGGCCGGTAAATCCGCGGCGAAGAAGAGTAGCAGCGGCCGCCCGTTCTCCAACAAAATCACCAAAATCGTGCGCCCCGCAAAAAAGGTGCGCTGCATGCACGGCAAGCCGCGCACATCCACCCGACACGTGTGCTGATTCTAGAACCATTCGCTCCACGGCACAGCCAGCCGAAGACAACCGGTGCTATAGACTACCCAAGCATTGCGTACAGGATACACGCATCGCCTCCATGAGAGAGTACCCCTCCCAAAAGAGCAAACGCAACCATTCTCGAAAACTCGTAAGAGGTGGGACGCGGCAAAGAGGTGCATCTACGACCATAATCCGCGACGTTGATGGGAGAATGCTACCTACAGAGAGCCATCCTGGTTTGGCAAGCCATGGGTGGGTGTGCAAGAACATGCAAGTCATCGGGGGCAGCAACGGCGGTGGGTACTGCTGTATTGTCGTGACGGTATTCGCGGAAAATCTGTCGCGCCGACAAGGATCCTCTCTCATAGGGCGTGGGGCACTGGTGGGGTGCAATGCTATCGAATGCTGCCGCTGTGTGTGGTCGGCTTTGTCTGCGGGGTGCAGCAGCCACACGTGTGTTGTTTGTACATAGCGACGGCAGGCGATTGAGACACAAAACCACTCTCGGTTGCACAAAAGGGGGTTCTGCGAGCTGGACTGGGGGTATAAAAGATGGGTCAAGGAGGGCACTGCAGCACGCACTAGCACGGCAAGCTGACACGAATATCTGCTGCCGCGATCATCAATAGTCAAACCACAGGACGCTCATGTTCTTGCTCTTCTCTAACACAAAAGCAGCAGAAGTGTTGCACGAGCAGCTAATGCTGAAACACATGGCATGATATGGAAGAAAGCGAGCCAAAGAACATCCGCTGCTGGTTCTCGGATAAACAACAAATTACATCATGGACAAAGGTGCATTTGTACTCCTTTGGAGCCAGCGACAGCTCACCACGGCGACACGATGCCAACAAGGCATTCCACCACCCTCGAGTATCCTAGCACCATCACCAAGCCGTGCGTTGCTTTGTACTTCCCGCAGGGCACAGGTCGCAAACAACCGGGGGTCACACAGATAGTACCATCCGGAGTTCACACGCAATGCGGAAGGATGTGTGAGGATGTGAAACGACCGGATGTCTTTGTATCTTTGCGAAGGCATCGAGAAGTACCGCTGTATCTGTGTTGTAGTGCATGGCAAGATGAGCGGGGTTGGCTAAGGTATGGTGGGGAACGCAGATCCTGCAGAGAGGCTCGCCTGGTTGGCTAAGATGGACCAGTCGCGAAGAGGATGCGCATCGTCTCCCCCGAGTGTTCCTGCGGTCCTCCGGCAACCCGGGAACGCGAGGTGAGATCCTTCTCGGGGGCGTGTCCAAGCGTGTCGCGTGTTGTCCATTCCGAGTTTCTTCGGCACCTTTGCCAAGCCTTCCTTTTTGTTTCGGCCTGCCTTTCCGGCATTGTCCTCATTGTCCTGCGGTGGGCGGGCGCTCCATCCAGGTAACGTGCGTCCGCTTACAACGGCCTCAGCAGTGCCCCTCCGACTCCCTCTCGCCCCCCCCCGATGCAATCTGCCTTCTTGCCCTCTTGCCCCGTCCACACATTTTCCGTCCACATGCATACATACAGCAGTAGGTCAACGCACTGGTGAGTATCACAACTTAAGTCGAGAGCGTACTGTTGCACAGAGACGACCCACCAGACGACGACATCGTCGTATCAAACTTTGGATGACAGGAGGGCTCGGGAAAACAAGAGGGCTCGGTAAAGACAGAGGTGCGGTAGCCATGATGTCAAAGCGAAAGAACCCGGCAATAGACAATACTCAGCACCTACTGGTAACAATACTCACATGATGTTGCCGGGTTGCCCGCTCAAGCGCGCGAGCAGAGGAGCACTGTATCTCGGCGGCGGCTCCGGCGGCGACAACCTCACAATCGACATCCACGAAGGCGTCGGGAGAATCGACGGGCGCCTGTAGCGGAGATGTCCAGGTTTCGGCGGAGGTAAAGGCAGGAAAGACACCCACACACCTTTGCCTCTCGCGCCTACGCACCCAGTACCTCACCGCCGAAACCCACTCCCTAAGCGCCTCATACCTACCGCAACGTCGCAAAACCAGCAGGTTGACCTCCTCGTCCAGATCGCGTCGTGGTCTGTTTCCGGGGCCGCCCGATCCGCGTGGACGCACTCACTCCGTCCCGGCGGGGGGACGTACGAAGGCCACCGGTCGCCCCAGACGTCTGCCCAAAAGCCATCGAATATATCGTAGTGGGGGGCGCCTTCCAAGGCCCGGCAGCAAAGTCTCGTTCTCCTCCCACCTTCCTTCGACGTTCGTCGTCGAACCGAACATGGCAGTTGGGCAAGGGCCTCGGGTCTGTCCATGCGAAGTGGGAACACCTGGGCGACAAATTGCAGGTATTATTTAGGGGTCGAGGCGCGCCGCATCCCTGTAGAGGTTCAGTGCGACGTCCGCCACGTCCCGATCGAGAACCAGCCTGACCTCATCGCCCGCCGGCCCGTCTCCGCCGATCTCCTGGTCGCATGGGCGGGCGAGTGTCCAACGAGGTATTATTCCTCCCCGGTTTCCCCGCCCCCGTTGACGCCGCCGAGGACGACGAAGCGGTCGAGGATGGAGTTCGGCCTGGAGAAGATGAGGTTACGGTCTGCCGCGGCCAGCCCGGGAATGGAACCTTGACGGGTGTCGAATTGGATGCGGACGCTCCGCCTGGGAGTCAGTGTGGAGGTAAGTTCCCGCGAGGGCTAGGGCTGCGTCAATCGTTTCCGATTGCTACAGTAGAGTGACAGGACCAACCCTTGAGTTCGCGGCTACTTGGCGAGGAGGGTCGAATTTGCTGGGTGCGGCAGGGTCTACTTCGCGTGTTGATTCGCGAGGAAATATTTGTGTTGCTCTGCGTTCGAAAAACGCGTGTTTACGTAGCTCTCCACCCTCTCCTCTTCGTGCCGCATGCCCTGTGATTCGTGTTTTTACTTTTCCTTTTCTTCTTTCCCCCGTTGCCTTCGAACGCCGGCAGTTTCTCGACGTGCACCGACGGATTCCGTCGCCACTGCCTCGTCCGTCTTGCGAACCTCGGGTTAGGTCTCGTTCTCATCTTTCGCTCCATCCACTGGTGTTCCCCACAGGTGGGGGTGCCGGGTACTCCACCCCGGGGTGATACTGCTTCGGAGGTAGGCTGTGTGACGGGAGACGCCCACCCCCCGGGCCAAGCGCGACGCCGGGTCGTACGTCCCAGCCCTTGAACAGGAAATGCTACGGGATATTTTGCCTTTAACGACAGCACGGTTGCAGTAGTTGCCGAGCGGGAGTCGCGGCGGCACCTGGACCTCAACATAAACCGCCCGTTGCCACCTCCTCTTCCGGCGCCGGCGACTCTCGTCGAAGATGTCCAGTTTTCTTGGGAATTCGGGAACGACTGACCACCTAACCGTGGAGCTTTACTTTGCAGTTTGTTCTCGTGCGTACATCGTCGACGCTCGGTCGCCTCCTCCGCATCAGCCGTAAAAACATGTTCGTCGATTTTGTGTCCAATAACGTTCATTGTGGTGGAGTGTTCTCGTGCGTTCGCGTGTGGTGCTTCTTCAGTGGGGCTTGGTTGGGTAGTCTTCGTTATTGCTTCAAGTGTCACCTATGCACGTTGCAGTCGTTCACCTGGGATCAGGCATGTGTGGGGGTAGTTCGTTTTTACTACTATCTGGTCTGGTGTAGGGTTCGTCTTCGCCCGACCGGGTTGGGTTGGTCGGATTTGGTCGGATTTGGTTGGGTTGGGGTTGGGGATTGGGGTTGGGTCGGGTTGGGATTGGTCGGATTTGGTTGGGGTTGTGTTGGGGTCAGGAAACGAAGGGGGTTGAGCCTGGACGAGGAGGCGTGACAAGGGCGGAGCCCAATAATTAGGCTGGTTGGGCCGGCTAATAAATTGAGTCGTTAGATAGAAGTAGTAGTTGTTAGACAGGGCCCAGTTTTGATTGAAACTGTGGGAACCGAATTACATTTTTTTTTTCCGAGAATATGAAAGAACATTTTTGATCTCGTTCTTGAACTATCGATGCCTACGGAAGTCCGCCTCTTGAAAGACCCCTGTGCTGTACAATATGCCTCCTGGGTGAGATGACTTGACGTTGCTTCAATACCTAAATTTGTAAGTGACTTGCCTTGTTGTTGCTCTATCAACAAGGAGGGCGGATAGTGGATCCTGGCTTTGGGAGTGACTGGTCGATGCACCCATCTGTCTGCCGCAGGGTTGGCGATCGTGACATTGAGAAGACAAGAAAATTTGTGTGTGTTATGTGTTTTGTTTTGTTTTCGCATCTATCTGCGTGCTGTTTCCGCTGATTTTCCGCGAATTCCATCCGCGGACTATCTGCGTGCTGTTTCTGCTGATTTTCCGCGAATTCCATCCGCGGACTATCTGCGTGCTGTTTCTGCTGATTTTCCGCGAATTCCATCCGCGGACAGCAGCAGCAGCAGCAGCAGCAGCAGCAGCAGCAGCAGCACTCCGTTGGATGATAGGGACTGAGTCACGCCGCACTTCTTGGGTGTCCGACATCATCAGCTTTCCTCGGAACTTGTCTTCCTCCTCTAATGGTCGATAATGCTGCTGTACTCCCTGTTTGCGCTTAGCATACAACGCTACACAGACCTTTCCTTCAAAGTTACGGAGGGGGGGTTCTCGACGAGACCAAAGAAACTGGTAGTACAGTAGCCGTTCTGTTTTCAAGTATGTTTTCTGAGAACTGGAAACATACAGTAGTTCCCTACCTGTACTGCTTTGGTTCGGGCAAAACCGACAGACTGCGTCCTCTGACGAGAAAATTTGACGAGCCATGAGGGGACGTAGGCTTCACGGCCACCGAGGGAAACACCTACCAAAACGAAATACGGTGACGACATATATGGTCTACTGTAGTTATACGTGAAGACATATTCGCAGGTCAATTCGCGTGGATTTTTTCGGGGGGGGGGGGGGGAGCTGCTCAGCAGGTCACCCAATACGGTCCGCGAACGAACGGTTTCGCCAGCGAGTCACGCATTCATTGTAGCTTGGAACACGACACGGCTGGTGCTAAATAGGGCCTGCTTCGTGGGACCTGTTCCACCTACCGTCCCACCCACGTGGTGCACGAAAAAGAGAAGGAAGAAAAACGTCCTGGTTACCTAGAGACAGGCCGAGAACTCAGTCAACACCACCGGCCGTCGGTGGGGTGACGCTGCTATTACTTATGATGTTCCCTGCCCTGTTCCCGAAAATCGGCATCGCTACGCTGCACCGGGACCCTCGTCCTTCAACGGGTGCCGAGAGCCCGACAGCAGTCAAACTTGGCGGCGCTGCTTATGGTATGCCTGCCTACCCTCCCCTGCTTTCCGAAAAGCGACGTTGCTATGCTACTCTACACCCTGACCCTCATCCTCGAACGGGTGTGGCCCTTCATCTTGCCCTGGCGCTTCGCGGCCTGCTTCCTGACATCCACCTTTTCCTCCTTCTTCTTGACCATGGCGCGTCTCTTGCCCTGGGGCATGTTCTTAAGCATCTTGTTCTCCTCCTGCGGCGCAGGGGGGGGGGAGGAGTTTGACGTTGCTATCTGTAGATATCGTTTCAACCTCCATTATTGTGAAAAGAGGGAATCGTCCTCGACGGACGTTCGGGAGATACTTCGAAGTAG